AGGTTACTGGAAGGCAAGCGAATTGAGGAGGGGTGGATGGCACTCAAAAGGGAGGTTTTGGAGGCGCAAGCCTTGACGATACCTCTAGTTAGTAAGGTGGGGAGGCGGAGGAGAGCGAAAGGAGGTGGTTAGAGGGATTGGATACAAGAGGAAGCTCCGTAGGAAATGGGTACTGGGACAAATAGACAAAAGGGTATACCGGGAGGAGGAGGCCCGTTGCAGAAGGATTCTTCGTAAGGCTAAGGCTGATTACAAGCTGAGACTTGCCAAGAACATCAAGAGCAGCAAAAAGGGCTTCTTTCAGCATGTAAATAGGAAGAGGAAGGGGAAACAAGTGGTGGGACCACTAAATAAGGAGGACGGAGATCCAGTAACTGATATGAGGGAACAGGCACAGATGCTAAATGACTTTTGCCTCTGTGTTCTCCTCAAAGCAGGACGGGGGAGATCTGCATAGGAGATGAGATGAGGCTGGGGACTTAGGGGCACAGATTAGAGTTACCCCCCTAGAAGTGGAGGGGCTCCTCAGGGCATTGGACGTTACAAAGGCGCCAGGCCCTGACAGGTTACACCCGAGAGTACTTAGAGACTTGGCAGGGGTTCTCTCACGCCCTCTGGCCTCCATTTTTGAGGCCTCATGGAGAACAGGTGAAGTTCCAGAGGACTGGAGTGTGGCATCAGTGGTCCAAATTTTCAAAAAGGTAGTAGAAGGGACATGGGGAATTACAGACCTGTTAGCCTTATGCCCATTGTAGGAAAAACAATGGAAAGGCTCATAATAGGGAGAGATCTAGTGATGCTAGATAGGGAAGGGAGGCTGGCAGCCGCGCAACATGGCTTCCGCAAAAACAGGTCCTGCGAGACAAACCTTGTAGAATTCTACGACAAGGTTTCAAGACGGCTAGATGGAGGGGATGCAGTGGATGTGGTTTACCTAGATTTCAGCAAGGCCTTTGACAAAGTGCCCCATGATATCCTGGTGGAGAAACTGAGGAGTTTTGGGATACACCAAAGCATTGTCAGGTGGATTAGGGCATGGTTGACTGACCGAAAGCAGAGGGTAACCATTAGTGGGGAACTATCGGGATGGTGGCCAGTGACAAACGGGGTCCCCCAGGGCTCTGTCCTGGGGCCGATCCTGTTTAATCTTTTCTTCAATGACATGGAAGAAAGGGTGAACAGTCTGCTGATCAAATTCGCAGACGACACTAAAACTGGAGCAGTGGTCACAACTGAGGAGCAGGTACTCCAGATCCAAAAGGATCTGGACAGACTATGGAAGTGGGCAGGAGAAACAGGATGGTGTTCCATGTGGATTAGTGGATTCAAGTGCAATGTGGATCTTGCACTTGGGCCATAGGAATAGGTGTCATAAGTACAGGTTAGGTGACAAGTGGCTGGAGAGCAGCACTTGTGAAAGGGACCTCGGGGTACTGGTTGACTGCTGGCTAAATATGAGTCAGCAGTGTGATGCGGTGGTCAAGAGGGCAAACTCCACCCTTGGTTGCATAGCCGGAAGTGTGGCTTCTAGATCGAGAGAGGTATTACTACCACTTCATATGACTCTGGTGCGCCCGCAACTGGAGTATTGTGCTCAGTTTTGGGCCCCTCATTACAGAAAGGATATAGCCAGGTTAGAGTCAGTGCAGCGTAGGGCCACAAGGTTGGTGGCCGGTTTGCAGGGGATGGGGTACAAGGCGAGACTGAGGGAACTGGGTCTCTTCAGCCTGGAGAAGAGGAGACTCAGAGGGGATATGTTGGCGACATACAGGTACATGAGGGGATGTCACATGGAGATGGGTAGAGACCTGTTCTCCCCTGCAGAGGAAGGCAGGACGCGCTCCAACGGAGCAAAGCTCAGGGAACCAAGGTTCCCTTTAGATGCCAGGAAGCACTTCCTGACAGTTAGGACCCCGAGGGTGTGAAATGGGCTTCCACGAGAGGTCGTTGAGGCCCCATCGGTGAGGGCGTTCAAAGACAGGCTGGACATGCACATGGTGGATGGTCGTGAGCAGAGCTGGCTGGTGCCAGGGGTCAGAGACTAGAGACCCCTTCTGACTCGCTATGTTTCTTTGCTGTATCTCCAGCAAAAGATCTTGCCAGAGTCACCATGGGTGGTCTAACTCCCAAGAAGTCATAGTGCAGGCAGGCGTTGTTTTGTATATGCCACCCATGATTTGGGAGTGTGGGTGCCATTTTAGGCCAATTTGAGCACTGTGGGATGCATTTAAGGGTTAAGCAACCCTTGAGTAAATTTAATACAAACTGAGAGCCATAGGCTCATGATCCTCCAAAGCATGGTTTGGAGGGGCCAGAAATGATGTATCTGAATACAGCCTATACTTGGCAAGGGATATAAGCCTTTCAGAGAGCCAAGTTGGCTGTTGAGGAAAGTATATAAAAACTTGCATAAATACATATACTTTGCTATAAATGTGCATTAAGAACATTTTGCAATCTCATTTCTTTATTTAAACAGTACAGTTCAGTCCAGCAATGTTGAAGTGCTGTATGGCACAATGTATGAGTTAAGAGAACATGCAATAGAATGCAGAACACAGATGTCATCTGTGGCTCGTACATGATAGAACTCGGACATGATGAACCACAGCTGTTGATGCACTTCTGCCTTTGCAAAATGAGTCCAAATTAATGTTACTAGGGTAGAATTCTGATCTACTATTTAACTTGCATGTATGTCTTCCGAGAACCTGTTTGTGCATTGTGTACTTGCTTTATATCTAATAAGTTGCCATGCACCTAAGAATTACTCTAAAAGAGGTGCTGCCAAGTTATGGTGAAAGATCTCCATGATGTCTTATCCATGAGAGCTGTGCTCAGCTTTTGTAAATTCAGGGCTGAGGCTTCCTATGTGGAATCAATCCATCTCATATTTGGCCTTCTGCCTTTGACTTTCTCTAGCACTGTTGTGTTCTTCAAGGAGTTTTGCTTTCTCATACTGCCCCAAAGTACAACAGCCTCAGTCTTGTCATTTTTGCTTCTAGGGAAAGCTCTGGTTTGATTTGATCTAGGAAGTACTTATTCACCTTTCTGTCCATCCAGGATATTTGCAAAGCTCTCCCCCAACACCATGTTTCAAATGCATCAGTTTGTTCCTGTCAGCATTCTTCACTGTCACCTTTCTTCACTATCCAGCTTTTCACACCCATATGTAGTGATTCAGGATACAGTGATGTGGATGATCTTGGCCTTGGTCTCAAGTGAAATGACCAATCTTTTCTGATGATCTTGATTATCTTTTCTGGTTACTTTATTGTTGCCCTTCTACCCTTAGTCCTCTTCAGATTTCTTGGGTACAATCTCGGTTTGAATCTGAGCTAAGGTATCCAAAATCTTTCACAGTTTAAATTTCTTTATTGTTGATATTCAAGTTGTATAATTCTTCTGTAGTCATGAGTTCCATTCTGAGAGCATGTTCATAAGTCCAGTTTGTTTGTAAATCCAACAAATATAGCCTAGGTATCCAGCTAACACAATCAACTGTATAGTACTGTACTGTAATAGTTATAATGACACTGGAAGATTTTCATAAGTTATACTTCCAGATATGTGGCAATATAGAAGTGCACCTATTGTTCATCTGACGTTAGGTTGGTTCAAGCTTTGTTACACTTTCCTGGACCCACCTCTCTCAATTATTACAGTAAAGAACACAAAAACCCATTTGCATTTTCAAAAGTTCGCAACTTGAAGGTTCGTATATAGGGGACTTTCTGCATTGATATATCTTACACATATTTTCATTCCTTCCTCTGATTCTAATCCAGCTTTTCTTATGCTGTGCTCTGCATACAGATTGAATGGATAGGGAGATAAAATACATCCTTGTCTGATGACTTTGGCAATAAGAAACCATCCACCTTCTCCCTATTCTGTCCTATCAGTTAACTTCTTGTCTACTGTATAGGTTCCACATCAGGATAATCAAATGCTGAGGCACACTCATTTCATTCAGGAATGTCTGCACCTTATCATCTGCACCGTCTAAGCTTTGCTGTTGTTGCAAGCCAAGTTCTTCCTTTGAGCAATCACAAGCTGCAGGCCGCCCAGAATGAATCTCTGAGCATTTACACAGCAGTTTGTTGAACCCAATCTAGTGTTTATCTCCAGGGACTCTCCTTATGAACATGGCTGGGCCCCATTCCCTAGGGAGAGGCTTTCTCAAGGCGAGCACACCACCTCTCTGCACCCTCCTTATTCACTTGGGTCTCCTGCCTCTTCTGACACCTCTCCATGAGGTCAAGAACAGAGGAGACCTCATCTGTGCCTGAGAATTTCTCATCCTCAGAAATCCTTCCCACTGGCTGTACATCTTGGTCATTCCCAGGAACTGCCTGGCTCAGCCAAGTGCCTGAACTTGAGATAATCACCTCTGCCTCTTTCATCTCAGAATCTTGACCAAGTCCATCCTCCACAATCCCACTGTAATCTGCTTCACTTTCTGATTCTGATTTGTCTGGAATGCACCCAGCATTCCATGAGAACAACTGTCCAAGACCACCATCCTTCTTACTCCCAACAGCTATAGTCCATTAAATAGACTGGTCTTCTAAAATTCTCTGATATGCACTAGTAACCAACATATATTTGTCATATGATCTCTTCCTTTTCCAATTCCAGCTTGAACAACTGGTATTCCTTGCTCCATTTAGGGTGGTATTCTTAATCTAGGTTTGAATTTCCCTTTGATTTCATGGATCTTCTGGAAGAGGTCTCTTGTCCCTGCTCCCTTTTTGTGTTCTCTTCTATTTCTTTGTATTAGTCATAACACTTCTTTTTGTCTCTACATGATAGTTGCTGAAAAGTTGCATTCACGATTCTGACCCAATTTCTGTCACCTTTTGCTTCTCGCTGGCCCTTAGCAACATACTCTTGCTCCCTAGGTAAAAAATAAAATAATAAACCGCAACTTGTACTCGGGTTGCGAAGGGATAACTGTGAATTTGGTAACTGTATAATGCATTACCCTGTCTTTCTAGAATCATCTTGACATTGTGCAACAGCTGGTCACATGCCCATTTAATGCCCGTCACCAGATCCCCAAAGAAGAGATCAGCCAGCATATATCAAGCTGTGATGACAAAAGATGCATTGAGCAAGATATTGGTAAGAAATTTGTCTGTAAGAATTAACTGTTGGCAGCTGTAACTCCCCTATCTTTTCTGTTAACATTTCAGAGAGGTAGTTGAATGATTTCTCCTTCGACTTGTAATAAATTCTGAAAGTATATTTACATGTACTGCAGACTCTCTAGTGCTCCCTGGATGATGGCTTAGAGTGGCACAGGTGGAATAACTTTTTTTCCTTGGTGAGCCTGAAAGCTCTTTGACTACCTGGTTTCATGAGATTTATTGTTAAATGCAGTACTATAAATTACACACAGTCAGATAAAAGCTACTTGGAGTGTGGGTTATTGTCAGTAGAGAAGGGCAATGGTAATATAGATCTCGAGTCACTCTCATCTCCTTTTTCAGCTCTAAAATGAAACAGGCAGAGACAACCCTGCCCCCCATAATATTACTTGCCCTTTTGTGAAATAAATGTCAGCCCTGTTCTTAGCGAACAGATGAACAGCTCAAATTCCCAAGAGAGAACTGAATGTTATCGTCATACCTTGAGGTGTCTCTCCAGCTTCTTCAGTTGAAAGGATAGTAAAAAGAAAGCTGTCCTGTTTTGCTTGATTTTGCTCTTTTTGATTAAAATTAACAAAATCATAATTACTATTTCAGTCACATCGAAATACTTTGCTTGTTCACAGACTGACTAGAAGCTTCGGGTCTCTTCTCCAGCAAGTGTTCCTTTGTGCTAAAATGAGCAAGTAGAGCATAGATGGCTTTAGATAAGTCAATTTCATATATTAAAAACCCCCCTGCTGACCAGGGAGTTTAGTTTGGCCTCCCAACACATGATTAGACATAATGTGGATCTCCAGTGAGCTATATGAAACAAACTGGAGGTCAGCGTTGGACTGATACCCACCCACCTACTTTACCTGTGTTCACATGTATGTCGACACCAACATCTGTGGTCAGGATTAGCCAGGATTCCCTGACTCAGGATTCGTAACCCTCTTCAGACTGGTTCCAGATCTCACTTAACTTTAACCACAGTTAAGCATGAACTGGGACCAATGTTAACTATAGTTAAAGCAGGTGGGAAGAAATTTGTTCTAAGAAGGGAATATGTGTTCCATGACTGAATCCTGATTTAGCCAACTTGGCCTATAGGGATAGTTAGGAATAGCTCCATGTGCTCTTTTTGGAGGAGATATAGAATATAATTAATAAAAGGAAGTGAGAGCTGTCCAGATTAATACCCTTTATGAAAGGACTCTGCAAAACATCTAGTTACTATATAGGAAAGCTTTTTCAAGGCTCCTATGTAAAGCCTTCCTTACATAGGAGAGCTTTTTCAGGTATTAGTTTGAGAAAAGATGTACACTTTCTATTACACAGTTGCTTAAAACAGCCTAAAGCAGTTAAGAACCTTTTCACCCAGGCAAGGGATGGGGAACTTGTGGCCCACTAGATAATATTGGTTTGTAACTTTTTTAACCATCAGCTTTACCCAGGGTAGCCGGTGGTGAATGATGATGGCAACTGCAGTCCAACAAAGTCCACCCCAATTTAGTTTAGAACATTTTATATTGAGTCAGCTTAGAATTATTTGAAATAAAATGTGAACATAGTTTTTTGTTTTGGTTATTCGGATGTAGGAAAAGATCTTTTGAAATAGGCATGAATAAGTAATATAGGACAACTGAGACAATATTTCTTACTGGACTGATGTTTTAAACAGTCCATGGAACCATTATTCAGGTCTTGCTGCACAGAGCAGTAATAAAGTCTTTGCCTGGGTAGGCTGGTGCCTACATAGCCTAATCACTTTTTCTCCCAGAGCTAGCTGCAGACACCTGGAACAACTAGTGGCATTTAGGTTACAGTCAATATCTAGTGAAAGAGTTATCCCCAGAAAGTCTTTAAGTCCATAGTCGAGTTAAAACTCTGCTGTTTGGTTAGAGTAGTATTTCTGCATTAATTACTATTTCACATTTTTGGTTCTTAATGAACACACAAATTAAGCTACCTTTTCTGGTTGATAAGATGCTTGTCTTACACTCATATGTGATATTTCAAATGTATCAAGTCTTGGAAGTTGCCCTTAGGATTGTATTGCATAGACTTAAGGGAAAGTGCTATAGATGGCACTCAGCCATAATTGTATTAAAAAGTGCAAAACATTGTTCATATTAGGTCATTATAGAATTAGGAAGCTTAAGATGTATATTGGGGAATTTAGCTCAGTTTTTCGTCATACCTAAAAGCAAAATGACCCATATTGTTCCATGTTCAAGCCTAGCCCAACATTAAACAATGCTTGAATTGAATGTATGCTCTCTCTCTCTCTCTCTCTCTCTCTCTCCCCACCCCTTGATATAGCAAGTCAGGTTGACAACCACAGAAAGCAAGTTAGTGTTCTGAGTTCATGGCAGTCTCCTCCATGTGAAGAAGACTGGGACAAAGGTAAGACTTTGATGGTAGGCAGTCCAATGGAATAGCTGCAAAACCAAAACCTTCCCCCTCTTGAAATTATAATATCTAATACAAAGATATACTATCAAACACCTGTTCTTTCCTCATCCATTCATTACTATACTGTGTCGAGAAGGAAACATTTTACAACTCAAGGATATAAATTAGCATACCCTTCATTGAAATTTTTGCTTTGTTCCCTTTTACAGCCAACAGTAGATCAATTTTATTCACCTTAATAAAATGTGGAGTTCATTTTACTTTATATGCTTTCCATTTGTCATGTTAGCAAGAACTTGGCTAACATTTTATTTGCCTTGGCAGATCTGGTGGAACAATCCAACTCTATCTTCATTTGGGGTACAAGCCACTGTGGAGTAAACAGGTACAGCTACTTATCTAAGCTGAATGTCAGATGCAATTTCATTGTATGATCCTGCTTTGTTGTGAATGTAAAAGTAATTTTTAAAGCTTGGAATGAGAAGAGTTGCTATAAATAGTGTGAGCTTTTGTTGACACTCTGGAACAATATCTGTGCCTTGGATCTTTGTCCAGCTCCAAAATGTGAGGACAGACTCTGGTATATGTCATATTGAAAAAGCAGTTCATAGAACAACATAACATCAGTTGCAATCTTCTTGTGCTACACAGTATATCTTTCCCTACATCTACTCCAGAGGCAAGAACTTTAAAAGATTTATTTTGTACTTAAAATACACCTGATTATCCTGTCTCTGTTCTATGTGAGGAGGCAGGCTGGTAGCTTTCCTAAATCCATGCCTTAAAAAAGGCTCCCCTCCCCTCCCCTTCCACCATAGTAGCCAATTTAATTCACAAACCAGGTTAGTTAGGACGCTGTTAGGCACTATGCCTGGTCACAAGCAGCAGGATCCAAGCCCAGCCTTGAGCTGCAGTGAACCATGACGTAGCTTCTGAACTCTCCCCAGGGAGTGAATGATAGACTCACAGTTATAGAAGGAAGCCCTAGAGATGACATGAGGCTTACCAGAAGGCATAATCTTCACTCCTAAAAACAACCACTTGAGTAGGTATCTCAAGGCACTCCTGAAATGAAAAGCAACAATTCTAGAGGATAGGATTAACCTTCCGGCCTTGGAGAGTTGCGATCTGGCCATTTCTGTTCACCAAGCCACTTACCCCATCACAGTAGATGATCAGTTGCTCCTTTCTGAAAGCCTAGCTTGAATCTGGCAAATGAAGTAAGGGGTACGCAAAATGATATTTATTTTCAGAAATGACTGGAAGAGGAACCACCTGTGTCAGGATGGCCTCTTTATAAGCAGAAAGACACTCCAGTGTTTATACATTTCTCAAGGTTCATGGATCAGTGGCAAGTCAACATTAACATTAATGTAAAAGCCATTGGCAGTGATGTCTAGGTCTGTTTTCACTGCAAAGTCTTAATGAACAATGGCTCCTCGCATTCTGTTGGCGGGCATGCTGCAGTGTGGATTGCATGAGCAGAAGAGTTTGTTCAAGTGATTCTGTTTTGTCACAAGAGTGAAATCCCCGGTCTCTCCACAAAAGGCTCAGTCGGACAATAGGTTGGTTCACACATAATAACACTCCTGTATAAGCAGAAGAGAGGGGCGCACCACCCGCTGTCCAGTTGTGTTTTTCCTCAGTAATCAGCACTTGGTCCACTCACAGGTTATTGAGCATTATATGCGAATCACCACTGGGTTGCTTAGCCCCTGAACAATCCAGCGGTCCTGATTTAGACAACAAGTTCAACACTCAGTGAGCCAGCCATGGGTTGCTGAGTAAATTCAGAGGCATTGTGCATGCAGGAGGCAGCATGTTAACTCACTTTCCCTTATGCATGACAACCCACAGGTTGTTTAAAACAGGGGTCCCCAACCCCCAGGCCATGGACTGGTACTGGTCCATGGCCTGATAGGAACTGGGTCGCACAGCAGGAGGTGAGCAGTGGATGAGCAAGTGAAGCTTCTTCTGTATTTGCAACCACTCCCCAGCACTTAACATCACCACAGGGGAGTGGCTGCAAATACAGATTATCATTATGCCCCTTTTGCATCTTGGGCCTCAAAAGGAGGAGGGAGTGGCAGTGGTGGTGGTGGCAGAGCCGGGTGGCAAGTGGCGCAGAGAAGCCGGGGAGGACACATGAGCTGGAGAAGGGAGTGGTGATTTCTGAAGTGCAGCACAACTGCAAGGCTGATGGCCTGCCTGCTCTTTAGCTTCATGTTGGAGATGGGACTGGACCTTGTTTTGCTGCTGCTTGCAGAAAGAGCCCCCCTAGATCCTGCCCCTTGCAGAAAGGCACCATGATGGCCATACATGTCAAGTTGGCTTCTATGTCCAGCCAAAATACGTAGACTCCTGAGAAAGATCTTGTGCGCTATCCTGCGTATTTTCCTTTCTAGTATAATTTCAGTTGCATTGGTGAAATACATATGCTTTCTATTGTTTCAAAGCCCTGAGTTGGGTTTGTTCTACCATTGATCTTTCACAGATAGCTGGTAATCTGCAGGCTATTAGTGTTCAGGCTTAAAAATCATCTTGCCACCTGCAGAATATAATCATGATTTAAAGATGGGAAGTGAGGTGTAATGTCTGGTCATTACCTGAAGTCAACTTTTTAAATGGAGTGCTTCCAACATATTACCTGTGAACAGGCAGTTAGGTGGCTTTTATTTGTGTCTCACTTAAGCCTGTAATCATGACTCAGCTTGTACATGTTTCAAGGCTTATTAACAGAAGTTGCTTTTACTGTTGTAAGCTGTCATATTTAGGTGACCAGAACTTTGCTTTAGTTTCTTGCTTGATTAACACTGTTGTGACATTAGCAAGTTGGTGCAGTGTGATGAATGCACATGGACTTTGAAATAGAAGCTCCCGGTTGAGAGTGTATTCACTGAGGGCACAGTGCTGTGGTTGCTTGATAGAGTCTAGGCAATCAATAGGAAAATTCCCTCCTCAGAAACATGCCTTGAGACTACTAATTTGGACCACCCACCTTCCACCTTCATGGCTGGCATGGAGAAAGCTTCACTGGTTGCAGCTCCAAGCTTAGAAGACTGACTTCGGAGCCAGCATTGGATGGGTATTCCAGGGGCAGGGAGGAATAGGGCTCCACTGTGGTGTGTTGAATTCTGGCATCAACATCAGCCTCTCCTCAAGAGCTGGAGCAAAAGATTTAGGTGGATGAGATTGGCTGGCTGAGTCTTGTGCCGAGTGGGAGAAGCATGGAGGGGATCTTTGCCCCTGTGCTCCTTCCGTGGTCAGTAGCATGCACATAATCCTCCATGTGTAGAGGTTATGAGAAGCTGCACTGGATGGTGATGCCCATGACCTTAGATAAGCCACTCTCTCTCACTCTGCCTTGGTCCCCTGTCAGTTAAATATAGGTAAAACTGATCTCCCTAGCAAAACCCCCAAAAAGATATCTTGGTCTGTGCATAGCATTGGAAATAGCATTGGAAATAGCATTTAAACATTGATAGGTATTATTATAGTAATGGATAACATTGGAGGAACTGATATTTAAAAAAACAAACTCCCAAAAGTTAGTTTGGTTTCTTAGTGTGTTATATTTCTAAGTTTGTTTTCCCTTGGGAAAGGTACAAACGTGAAGTAAAGACAAGCGCATTCATGTTTTCCTGTTTTCCCTCTTCTGTTTCTCTTGTCTCTCATCCCTAGCTCTGGATCAAACACAGCAATGAGCTATAAGAGCCATCTAGCTTCAGGTCTGCGAGCTCCCAAGTCCATGCCAAATGTACTACCATGGAAGAACAGTAAGTAATTTTGGACTTGTCTTCCTCATCATTTCCATTGGACTATATACTACGAGTCTTCCTGACACTTTAGTAGTACAGTGGCTCTCTTTAAAGTCTCCTAAATGGTGTCTCATTTTGCTTTATTTTTAAAAGAAGCTTCTAACCCATAGTTGATTGCACACTGTGGATCTTACTTTTGCATATTGCTGCTCTTTTGTTATCTGCTGCAATCACAAAAATTGCTGGTTCTCAAGGTCAGCCAGAATTCCTCATTATCCACAGCCCTTTTCTGGAGTCCTTCTGGAAAAGAATTTGTTTCTTACTCTGCTGTGTATGGTCACCACTGGCTACCTGGCAACTGCATTTATAAATACATTGCCCACTCTAAATGTTGCAAGCTTTTAATTCCTGGCTTCCTTCTATATTACCTCCTCCAAGAAATTCTGGACTAAAGTTTGTGTGTGTGACTTGGCTTATATGAAACCCCTCCTTTAATCACTGCCTTGACTCCATTAATTAATTATTTGTAAGTTAACTTGACCCAGCACCACCAAAATATTTTTACCGTATTTTTTAATCCTCCTTCTATCATCTTCCACTTTGCTGAAATTTAGAAGGTAATTTCATTGCAGCAGATACAAGTTAATGTACTATGCCCACGGATGCCACATAAAAATAAGTGGTACTGATGAAAAAAGAGCTTGTTTTGCTCTTGTCTTACTGGACAAGAGAGGGCACTATTTGCCTCTTCTTTCCCACAAGCAGCTGCCTTGAAATACAAGTTGGGGGAGTCCTTCAGAAAAAAACTTGTCTAGGAGCATAAATAGTATGTGGCATTTAAGTGACTCCAAAACAGTTGTGGCATTTTCAATATTAACTTCTGTTAAATTTGGTGTATGCTGCATGGTGAACAGCTGCATTAGGCTTGGTTTTAAGTCTTTAGATCTATTACACTGTAACAATCAGGAATGTGTTTGTATAGAGTTATTCTTGTCTCTTCTAGGGTGGGGGGGGTAAAGCGAAATCACTGAGCTCAGCATTCTTTTTTCTTTCCTGTTCTGTCTGGGAGGTGCTTTTTTCATCCTCTACACTCATAAACAGGTAGCAGGAAGAAGTATAAAAGCCTTCTCTGTTTTCTGGTTCTGGCCTTCAGCTTGTTACAGAAAATGAGTAAATGGAAGTGCTTTGTAATGCATACCTAATCAGCATGGTCACTGTTCTTTTAGGAACACTTAGAATGATTTGAGTTGGTGGTGATATGTTTTGGCTTCCTGCAATGACTAGTGGGCTTTCCCCAACCATTCCCACTGTACTGAAAATAGAGAATATATTCCTTACAAACAACAGAAAATGGGAATGGATTGCCCGGCATGTGTGCTTGTCTTTAAGGCTTCTTTATCTGTGTCCTATGGATGTTAGAAAGTGGGCCCTTTAATCTGTAATACTGTGTAACAGTGGAAAGTTTAGCACATGCTTGAAGGGGTGGGGCAAGAATTCTAGCCCATTGCTGACTTTTAAATAGGAAATCAGAGGGTGATAGTTCTTCCTCTTTTGTTGCAGAGTTCTGGGTAAGGGCAGTAATCTTGCGTGAGTGATACAATTTATCCCTATTGAGGTAGAAGAACAATTAGTGCTTCACTTTGAATTGGGGCATTTTGACTGCAAAGGGACTGTGCAGATGCCTCCATAGCTCCTATATATTTCCATTTCTCCACAAAGCAATGAAAGAACTTTGAACTACCTGCCAGTGTGTGTGGAACTACAGACTACAGCAAGAACCTCACCACAGGGGATAGGAGGTCTTAATTTTATACATTAAATATTACATACATACATTACATATATTATACATTAAAATTAAGAGGGGACTACTGCCAAACTTTGATTTTCTTTTCTTTACACACCTCCAAACATTTTCTGGCAAGAACTTGAATATGTAATTACTGTAGTGATGGTTGTCTTTTCATTCTCCTTGGGTATGAAATTGCCCAAATCTTTCTGAAAAGTATGTAATCTAGTTGGATAAAGCCATGAGGTTGGTTGGAAGTACTAGTAACTGGCTTAAATCTGTCATTTTAGAGGTGTGTTGCCGCTCAAGAAGTGATATTGATGGTTTTAATTGCTGGTATTAATTAGGTGCTTTTGTGTGTGTGAGAGAGAGAGAGCGAGAGAGAGATCGCAAATATCTCTTCTTGATACTTGCAGTACCTGGGCTGGAGGAAAAGGACCTCCATTTCTACCTGCCATTAGGTGCCAAAGAATCCACTATCCAGGAGAATTGGCAGTGGTCGATATTGCATTGCAGTTGTGTAGTGAAACCTCTCAACACTGATTGGCTGAGCCAATGTGAGGGCCCTGAATGTTCACAAATATCGTACCTACACGAGTGAAGCTGTAAGAATGTTCTGCAACTAACTCTTCTCTAAGCAGCTGGTTTGTAGTTCAGCTAGAAAGGAGCATCCCTGCAGGGACTAGGGCCAGTTGAGGATTGTGGAGAGATCTCAGAATATAAAAAAATTTACATGGCAGTGTATTCCAAGGCAAGGTAACTGAAAGAGGGATGCAGGCTAGGAAATAACTGAGAAACATGAACCTGAGAAGAAAGGAGGTCTAAGACATCTTTACTTGAGCTAACCTGCCAGTTGGGCTTGGACTTCTAATTTAAAACTTGCTTCATTGCTTTAGGTCTGACATGGATAGCAGTACACACTGTTTTCATGCACATTCTCTGCGTAGTATGCAAATGCATTCTTGATCCACTGCCTGCAACAGTCTGTCTTATGGGCTGTTTCTTATGTAAATCTCTGCTGGCAGCTAATATTATGTAGACCAGAGATAAAACCCTGAGTGCCACGCTCTGGCCTGCCAAATCAGAAGATTCTGTGTACTCTTCCCATGCAAGTAGAAGCCTATTTTTGGCTAAGTGTTCTCATGGCATGGTGAGAAGAAACCTGATTTGGCTTGGAGAGCTCAGTGCTGTCTGACTGTGGGAAGGGATTTTAGGTCAGTGATGGAGCTTGTCTGAAGTTCATCCATTACAGTTGTTTTTCTCACATGTAGATGTGTGGATGTATCCATGCATGCTGAAAGAAGTGGAATCTTAGAGAGGGGTAAATGAAGAACATAAGTAATGGTTTTCCTTAGAACATCCTGGAAGTAAAAAGAGGTTTTATGATTATAGAGTATGCAAAATCAGTCTTCCAGTCTTATCCATCCATTGTCAGAATCTCTCAAAACCTTCCACCTGCTTACTTTAACCTTTCAAACTGAAGTTTAACTGGTCTTGCTGAGATGCAAGTACAAGTCAGTTTTCCCTCTAGCTGTATGAAACTGGGATGATCATAATGGAGTGAAAGATACTTGGATAAGGTAAACAAGTAGATAACATAAGCTTTTGCATTGAGTGATCATTCCATTGAAAGTAATTTGGGGTACCTCTGCACTTCATAATGCCTTCTTAAGTGCAGTGTTTTTAGAATAACAATCCAAACACCTTTTTCTTTTTGCTTTCCATCTGATTGGACCATCTAAAACTTGATTGCTCAGCAGGAGTTGTGTGTGTCAAGTCTGGTCAAACTACTTAAGCAAAGTACAAGATGTAGTTGTGTTCCTCATTGGTTTAATTTTTGCTGATGGGGGAGAATTCAGTACTGTATAGGAAACACTAATCCACTATGCTGGTATCTTCTTCCAGCTGGCTTTGCTGAGGTTGCTTTCTTCCTGGTGGGTGGAAATGATTGCCTTTTTAAAGTCTTTGAAAGACGGCCATCTTGGTCCCATAACAGTGTCACTCATTGCTCAGAAGATGGAAAAATCTCAGTAGTGTCTGCTCTAACTTTGTCCATAAATGTCCCTGGTTTGCTGAGAATTCTGGCTCTCTGTACAGAGTTAAATCCCTTGAAATGAAAAGCTTTGAAAGGATGTTGCCTGAAACCTAGGGGAGAACTCAGTAGTTCTATATCAGGCTTTCTGGCTGCTGTGACATTAAATCCCAACTCTATTTTTTAACATTTATATAATTTCTTATTTGCTAAAAATTCATTAAGGTGGCTCCCAGTACTAATCTTAGCACAATGACACTAATGTTAAAAACAATAAAATACTAGAGCAGTATCATTTACAAACCTTGATTAAAAAGAGGTGTCTTCACACCCTTTCTGAAAGTGACAAGAATGAGGGAAATTTGTAGTTCCTAAGAAAGCACATTCCACAGTTTGAGAACAATGCAGGAGAAAGCCCTTTTATGTATACCTGACAAGTGGGCCTCTCTGGCAATGCTGCCCTCAAAAGGGCCTGTCCTGCATATTTTAATACCTGGGCTGATTCCTAACAAGACTGGTGGTCCCTTGGATATACCCTGTTCCTAACCCATTTAGGGCTTTAAACATTAAAACTAACACCTTGAATTGATGCCAGAAAGCAATTGATGCCAGTTAAGTTCTTTCTAGGCAAGTGTCATATGGTCCCAGTACCATGCACCAGTTAGCAACTTAACAGCTCCTTTTTGCATTGGTTATAGCTTCTGGACCCTTTTCAAAGGGTAGTGCTCCATAAGTCTATTGTAATCATCCAAACATGATGTAGCCAAGGTATGAAAAACTGGTGCCAAGTCAGACCAATTCAAGGAAGGCTTGCTTTGGTGTTGCCCTCACCACCAAGAGCAGTCCCTCTTTTACAACCCCTGTGTCTCAGCAGTAGTCTAGTGGATCTGAGTCTGCTGGAAAATGTCGAGTGTCTCTCCAGCCTGTCTTGGGAGTAGAAACATCCAGAGCACTTGCAGCTGCCAGACAGAGGAAGGCAAGCAAGCAAGATGTTTGCTTCACTCATAAAAGCTTATTTAACTTTACAGTCACAGAGCAGTTGGTCTTTCCTTTTCACTACTGGCGTGGCTGTTTCTATTGTTGCTATAAATTCATAAAGAAGTGCTTTATTAAATATGAATGCTTGCACATCTTGTTCAGGATAATTCATCATTGTTCAAATAAAACGGTTAATCTTTCCATGATCAGGATGCATTTGAGCCTTT